AGAAGTGGAGGATCTTGGAGAGAATGGGAGTGCAATAAGGCCATGGAAACAAGCTAATGAAAGTTAATATCTTTGTTATCACTTGTTGTTCAATTTAGACAGTGAATACAAACAGTACATAACATCAAGACAGGGGAAGGTGCTTCCTATGTCCTTGCTGCTGTGAGCTATATTATCTCTGTGTAATACATATGACAGAGGTGACCCAGGTTAATACTGTGATAGGTAACCATTCCTCCTGCATCCTTTGCACATCTCCCCCTGCCCCCAAGTCCATTGGCAGGTGAAAGAGTTCAGTCAACACAGGAGAAATCCAACTTTGAAAACTTGTGGTTAGAACCTGAGTTATGGAGAAAGCAAATCTAAATTCAAGCCAAAACAGAGTTGATATCCTTCTGATGGTGGATACAGAACAGACATCCATTCTTTTATTGGTTACCTCTATAATATTTCACATTGTTAACAAGAAGAACTGCTGGTTTAGATGAGATGGGGTCAGAAGAATGAACTGAAGTGCCAGGAAACCTTCCTGTCTGACTAATAGTGAAAAATTTCACCTGTTCCTAGATTTTCTTTTTTTCCTCTTGACAATTCCTACAGGAAAATTCTTTATAAGAACTCAAAGCAGTGTGGATCCAGTTGTTGAACCATTCAGACCACACACTTAGCTTCCAGCAATACACAGCAGTGTTAAGTGTGTTGGGTCTCTGCATTGCAAAGCCTATGGAGTACTCCAGAACTTGGACAGGATGGGATCACAGTGGGGGAAAATAAATTGCTTGAAGCAGAGCAAGAAAGAGGTGGTGCTAGTGAGCAGAAGATAGCACTTTGAAGAGTTTCGCTTGATAAAATAGTCTCCTTTGGCTGAAGATGTGCCTCTGCAAGTGGACAGTCCAGCCTCCACTTTAGGAGTGCTCTTGGATTCCTGGCTGATTGCAGGCTCCCACATAGCAGCATCCACGAGTAATGCTTTGGCTAGGAAATAGTCCTATCCTGGCAGATGATGACCTGGCCTCAGTTATTTGTGCCTTCATCACTCTTTGGCTGGATTATAGCAATATGAGATACCTGGGCATGAAGCCTTTAATGCTTAGAAAAAGAGCTCGTGCAGAATGTTGCAGCATGTGCTTGTGGTAAACTGTGTTACTGGGAAAACATCAGGCTTGCCCTTTATTTTCTGTGCTGCCTTACCATATAGTTTCTAAATTGCTTTTGGGACCTTGGCCCTTACCTTTTAGGTGACAAATATTCTATTCTTAGAAGGGGCCCAAAATTGGAAAAGAGAGGGCACCAAAATTAAATAATTCTTGAAAAGATTGTAAGATTACTCAAGAGTTTATTCTAATCTCGGGTTAATACCTAGAAGATTTTACAAGCATTGAAATTTTCCTACTTTCCACACCTGCTGTAAGGCCTGTTTGTATGACCTTAGTGTCTCTAAAAATAACCTGTAAGTTTCTGTTGAAGCAAGACATTCTGTAGCATGCAAAGTCTGTTGTCTTTTCTGAAGAGAACAAGTGTGGTGGATGAGTAGCCTTGGTACTACAGTGGAAGAAAGCTACAGTGAAGTATAATATGAAAAGCTGTAGAATTATAGAGTACTGAAGATAATCGTAACTGGTGTTTCAGTGGTAGTAATGCTCTTCCAATCCCAAGCAAGTGTGAAACTGTGTAAGGGGGTGTACGCTATTGCCAGCGTTGTACTTGTGATCTGTCACCATTTTAACATCCAGAGGCTATTGATAGAGGCTCTAGAAATAACTTGGATTTTCCGCTTGCAGACTCGCCCGTAGCGTGAGGCTAGTAAGGCTGTCAAACCAGCTTTTGGAGAATGTATTAAGCTGGCATTTGATTCTATTTAAAGCTTGGGATTTTTTGATAGTGTATTTGAGTAAATGTTTTGTATTTTTCTGATGCATTGCTGAATTGGCCCATGATATCCCTTAAGATGACAGCATCCTTGTAGAAGAGAGTTTATGTACTGAGAGCTCTAGAACATGTTGAAATCCCTTCTGAATAATCAATTCCCATGGAAATGTAAATTATATGGGCATGGAGCTCAGACCACCTAATAATTAAGGATGGTCTCTGTAGAAAGAAGCTAATGAAAGCATTTGCAAGGTAAAGAAATACTGTTGTTTGGAAGTATTGTTTATGTCTGCCAGGGGTTCATATCCTCATATTTGTGATTATGTGCATAATTAAAAAAAGTTGATAAGCACAGTGAATCTAATTGCCTTCTGCTTCAAAGTTTTAAGGGAGCTGTGACTTTGAAATAGCTTGCTGCTTGTAGTCAGTATCTTCCAGGACCTGACTGAAAGCATATTATCAAACAAATGCTTTCAGTATGCTGCCAGTAAACGTTTGTTAAGGTGGAGGTGATGAAATCATAATTAAGAACAAAGTATATGATAGGGCTGTTGTCACTATTTTCAAAACAGAAGTGCTAAATCCAGGAAACTTAGAGTTAAACTGAAAAGAAATTCAAATACTTTAAGCTGTGGAAATATGTGGAAAAGGCATCCAAACTTCCAAACTCTTTTCTGTTGCCAGCTGCTCTGACTTCATATGTAGTTAGTGCTCAGAAAAATGTGGTGCAAATTTTTTTCACTTTTTTTAACCTTGCCACTTAGAGTTAGTGCCATCATGGAGAGTTTCCTTTTTCCTGCTCCCACCTGTGTATTTAAGGATAGATATAATCTGATGAGCATCTTTATGGATTTGCTGGTATAGTTCTTGTGTAGAGAGAGGTGTTTCTCCAAAATGGCTACCAAGTGAGGGCAGTAGTGGCTTCATTTTCACTGAGAAATGAGATATATTTTTTTTTTTGGCAGTCCTTTCTAAAGGAAGGATTTTTTTTTTGTGCAATTTGTTAATGTCCTCGTATAGTTCACTTTCTTCTGAACTACAGAAAATAGGGGAAGGATGAAGAGAGATTACTATTAATAAAGCAATTTGGGGATGCATTCTTTTTGGGACATTAACTTCATTGCACAGTTCCAAATTCTCCTCCTCCTCTCCCTCTTCCATTTTTCTTGAACACTGCCTCCCTTTTCCTGCTTTGAGGCTTCACCCAAATCTGCTCTCCTTTTCTTCAACTAACCCAGCTCTTCTTGCTACTTTCTTGCCTTCTTAGGATAGCATGTGTCTGACCTCCCCTTTACCCATTCTTACTCTGCTTTATCTCTTTTGAGACATTGGCATCTTAAGCTATTGTGGCATAGGAGGGTGGTCAGAGTGAAGAAGGTGTTTTTTCTCTTGTTGATTTTTGTTTTGGTTTTTTTTTAACTAGAACATGCTGCTTGTTAAGATCTGTGGTGGTCAGCAGTGGCTCATACTGGTTGTTCTGCCAACCAGATGCCCTGGTTTCTGCCCTCTGAGTCCTCAAATATATATTGAAACAGGAATTGATTACAGGCAGATTAAGACAATGATTGCAGTTGGACTAGATGATCATTGTGGGTCCCTTCCAACTGCAATTATTCTATTACATTCTATTTAACATGATGGCATGTCCTTGTCTGGATGTAGGATTTTGCATGTTACCACAAATAGTATTGGCCTCTGTTTAATGTTTGATTTTTTTTTTGTTGTTTGTTTTTTTAAGTTGTTTTGTGGCCTGCTCCTAAAATGTAGGCACCACCTTCTTTCTGTCCTGATTCTGCATCCTAAAATTCTCATTTTTTAAGTCTGAAAGAGGGTGTACCTGCATCTGACTGAAAATTAATTAGTATCTTTCTGTTTGCTCAAGTGGCTGTTCAGTCAGATCTGTGAAGTGATCTGACTTGCCTGTGGCTGCATAATTTGTGGAGCAGATCAAGTAGAGTGGCTGGAGCGTGCAACTGAGCAGGTGATGAGCTTTCAGCTGCAGTGCATCCTCATATTGACAAAGGCCGATCATGCAACTACACCTTTAGAAAGCAATTTTTGCACAAGATGTAATTTTAAACACTTTAAATTGGTATGGCTATTAAGAGAAACAGTCCTGTACTCTTCCTGGCTGCTGTTCCCATTCTCATGTTGACCCTCTTCTTTCCTGGCAGAGGTATATGATCAGTTCCCCTCTAGCTGCACGGCACAAACTGGAATGGAGGGGTAGCACGGGCAACTGTACTAGCAGTTGGTTGCAGGAAGCTCTTTCCCCTCCCTCAGAAGTTTATATTGTTTCAGCATTCATTCAACCTGTTCTTAAAGACATGTGCTATTGAAAAGATTACTATTTAAATTGCTTAGTGCAATTTTATGCTGTATTCCCATGCTCATTCAGGGGCTTGTACACAGCTAGGTGACATCTTTGAGCTGTGGAAGGGCTGTGTAGTCTCTGAGAATGACAGCAGCCTGGAGTAGATGCTGCCTTGTTGGACAAATTGATCTGACCTGAAGATTGTACCTGGTTTCCTGGATGCCTCTGGAGAAAGAGGACTGGCAGTTGTAGGCTGTGTAGTTGTTCATGGTAGAAATCTGTTTCCAGCCTCAATCTTTCCTAAGGCATCCTTAGAGTACACAAAAACTGAGCTGTACTTGTGTGAGACTTCAGGACTGACTGCGGTATGTGATATGTAGTATGATTGCTCTGAATGTGGGTATTTCCCATGACTGGTGGATCTTACATATTCATGGTAGGTCCTATTGAGAAATTGAAGGGACTGTGACACTGACTGTCTAAAGCAAAGTGGTTTGTTTGGCCAGGAGGCCTGAGTGCCACAAATCTAAGCATTTGAGGAAAAAATGTGCCTAGCATGATGTGTACAGTGTTAGGCTGTGGAAAGTCCCAGGAGAACAAATGATGCTCCCTGCTCTAAAACACTGAAAAAGAGAAAAAATGCACCTGGATGTGGCCCTTGAGAATAAACTGTATTTTTGTGAGGAGAGGTTGCATTTGAAGCCTCATTACATGCATTCTGTCCCTAGTTGTTGTTGAGTGGTCTGTGTAGTACGTCATACTTAGCAAGCATGTCATTTGTTCAAGAAATGCTGTGAATCTTTGTCCCTCTTTACAGGTTTGCAACAGTGAGGTATGACCAGACATCCAAGAACATTAAAAACCAGTTCATGCATCTGACCAACTATAGCGTCAACAAGAAGAGTGGAGATTATGTCAGGTACTTGGCTGGAAAATGGAACTTGATCTCTAGATGTTGGGCCAATTTACCTAAGTTGGTCTAAGGCAAGTCCATAGAGGTAGGCCAACGGTGTCAGTTTGCTTCTTTCATTTATTTTTAGCTGTGATGATCCTGAAGTAGAAGATTATGGAAACAAGTGGAGCATGAGTGCAATGCTGAGGTACTTAAAACAAGAGGGGAGAGACACGGCAGGTCAGTACAGATCTTGTTCTTTTATTCCTTTGTTGGATCTTAATCATCTCACTAGTGTGAATCCTAAGAAGTCGGGGAAGAGCCCCAGTGAGTCCCATTTAGCACGAGAGCAGGGTGGAGGGAAGCATTGTTCCTTACAGCTTACTCAGTAGAGCTGTGCATTTATTCTCTATCCCCAGAGATGAGCTCTATCCCCAGAGATGAGGCCTACCCCTTCCCTTTTGCAAATAATATTCTGAGACTTTCTCAGGGTGTGTTTCTTAATATTTTTACCTACATTTCCCGTTTCTTAAGGTCATTCCATTCCTTCTAAAAGCTTCCCTCCCTCTACTGCTCCCATGGCCTGTTCAGTCTGATGAGTGACCAACCTCTGGAGAACTGTGCCAGTTTGAATGACTCTTGGATGTGGTGTCATCTTTCCATGGCTCAGGTTTTTGCTGGGTGTTTTCATTTCAGTCTGTGTTTCATGTAAAATAGCTCCCTCTTCCACACCTTTGCCAGGTCTGCTGGGAGTAAGTGCATCTGCAGAGGAGAATCCAGGTATATCCTTTAAGGGATAATTTACCTGCGATACTGAGGCATCAGTAACACTACTGATAGCAGCTATGTCCATATTGCAAATGTTTCCAGGGAACACTTAGATGTTGGAGGAAGGGGGTTGAATCTGGCTTTCAGATGGAAGTAGACTTTTTTCCTGTCATATGTGTGCATGGCTGTCCAATCACTTGCACCATATGTTTTCAGTAAGCTGTGTACACACAGTTACTTATATTGATACATTTCTACACCCCACCCCAACATAAAGTATGAAACACGCACTCTTAATTAAGTAAACTGCTGAGCAACAAAAGCAGGTTTCGCTATCTATTACAAAGCTTCTTGCACCTTTCTCTGATGCATCTGGTTCTGGTCGTAGGGAAACAGAATGCTGGGTGAAAAGTGCTGGCCTTGTCTGGGCTGGCAAGACTTTTGCGCTCTGGGATATTTATGTGCACTTAGACATTCCCATGCTGTGCTGCTTCCACTTAGTTGTCTTCTAACACAGAAGTTCACATCTGAATTTGCTTGTATGCTCCTCTAATGATTCAGGTCCCTGCATGTCATCATCTGAATGTGAGAAATAGTAATTGCAGGCCTAAATCAAACTCTCTAGTCAGGTGGTTTGTATTAGATATTCTTTGGGATGGGGATTAGCAAATATCTGTGTGGGTTTGCTGGAGGTCTTGTGTGTTTGCTTCTGTTCCCTTTGAGGGGTGGGGAAGGCTGTCATAGCATCCCTACTTACTTTTCAGACTAGAACTCCTGTGTTCGTTTATTCCTTCCTCCTCTCATTTCTCTATGGCTTGTCCTTGAAAACAGAAACTAAGTGTGGTGTTCTTTCTATTGCATGACTCATCCCAAACCCAGTGTAGAATCCAGGTCTACATCTAATGTGCATCTTTTCTTGCCTTTTGCTCTCTCTGTCAGCTCAGATTCCTGTTGCTGAGCTCTGTTTACAGGCTTCCCTATTGAAACAGTAGATTATGCATAGGTCAGCAGGACTGGGAGCTGTCACCAGTTATATCATTTTGAAATATGTGAATCATGGTATCAGAACAGCTGCTTTAGAGGAAGGTGCAACATCATAGAACAGTTCTCATGAAAGGCCACCAGAAAAAGTTTGTATCTCAATGGCTGTGGGTTATTCTCTGTAGTTTAAGGGCTTATCTCATGAACCCACTCTTGTTTAATCCTTCCTAATACTCTGAGTGGGCGGTGATCAGACTCCAGCTGACTTGTGTTGATGTGCTTGCCACATGTTTCTGCTTACTTGCACTGCACTTATACTCACTTTCATCATTCTCATTTGTGAGTATTTTTGCACTAGAATACTTATGCATGTATCTCTATACTTATGCTTGCATGGATTTCCAAACGTCATTGCTTTGTCATCCATAGGCTGTCACGTGCTTTAAGTCACAAAGGTATCTGTCCATATGCATATTCTCATGCTTTTCTAGATATTGTGTGCTACTTCACAATCTACTTTTTTCCTTTTTTTTTCCCCCGCCCCTTCCCTCCTTGCAGCGCTGATGGCCAACGTGGAGGACCTGATTATCAAGACTGTAGTTTCTGCTGAGCTGGCCATTGCCACAGCTTGTAGAACTTTTCTTTCACATCGTGGCAGCTGCTTTGGTAAGGCACTGTGGACATCTTTGTTGATTGGCTTTTGAATACTGTTTGAAACTTCCATCTTTCTGATGCTACAGAGAAATGTGCATTCCCTACTGCAAGGAAGCCAGATACTGTTGGTTTTTTGTTGGGTTTTTGGGGTTTTTTTTTTGGTTTTTTGGGTTTTTTTTTTTGGTTTTTTTTTTTTTTCCCCTCAGTATAGGCCTCTGTGAGGGCAGGGTTTGTTGAATCACAGGTGCCCCAGTGCCAGTGTCATTCATCAGAATCTCATGCTAGAAAATGGGATGATGGAAAAGGCCTTGAAAGGGAACTGGGGAAGTGCTCGAAAGTTGAAGTTACTGACCCACTAATACCCTTACAAAGGATGGCTGTGGATGATTAAACATCCCTTTAGAGCATTTAATATTTTCTATTGAGCCATCTAGCTCAATGTTGTTCTGAATTATTGTCCCACATGCATCCGAGGACTAGGGAGGAATGTGTAATGCAGTGCCTGGAATGATAGTGGTGGTAATGCTTCTGGGCTTGTGCTTGTGTGTGAGTACCACATGGTGGCGTGAAAGCCTATTTCTGGCAGAAGCTGGATGCAGAACTATGTGCTGGCAAAGGGATTTGAGAACTTGCTGGCAGCAGATGCTGGGATGAGGTCCAGAAAGCAGCGGCTGGTACCACAGTGTGCCTTCTCCCGCTTTCCAGTGGCTGCTTCCCAACCTTCCCTAAAGAGGCCTCCTCCTGCTCTTAGCCGCCCTTTGCTCTTGTGGATACACGCATGAAGATGGAGTCTCGGGGCAGGGGAAGTGAGTCTGGAATTAGTCTCAGTTGGTGCTTAAACCAAAGACCAAGCTTGGCTTAAGCTTTCCTGTGTTTAGGTATTGGGACTTATATTAAACTACCTGTGAGAGGTAAATCCATTTGTGTGGTCCTTGCATTGCACTTGGGTATTGACAGTTCTGCAGCTTTCAACACTAACATAAATGCTGTCATCTTTGGATATTTGGGAGTGATGAGACAGTCAAGAATCAAGGAAGAGCTGTGGCTGATATGTTATTTAGTTACCTACCAAGCTAGCTACCTCTCTGGCCTTAGCTTGTCCTGACTGACTGACTGCCTTTGAACAAAGTTGGAGAACCTTGGCATACATGCGGATTTATGAGTTAGATAATAGTTTTAGTGAAGTAGCAGTTTATCAGCTACTCCAGAAATATCAACAACTGGATTAAGAAAAACACATCAAAAAAATTAACTGGCTCTTTCTTTTGCTTCTCCCTTTCCTCCCTCAGTTGTGTTTCTAGATTCCTCTCAGCTGTGTATGTGGAAACTGATGTTCCTCATGTACTTTCTGCTAGGGCTGGCTCTGAGGTTATCCCACTTCCTGCTGTCTCCCCAGGGCTGCACTAACCACCCTCTCAGATGCTCCCCCACAAATAAACTGTTTTGTTCCATTTATTTCAGTGTAAACATAAATTAAGAGCTTCCCAGGAACAAGAGCTTAAGTAGGAGCCATACTGCTTCCCTAGGGAGCCTGAGGCATTTCCAGAGCTCGGTACTTTCTGCCACCTTCCCCCACAATTAAGTGGTGGTCCTTGTCTCAAGGATTTGAACTGCCCTTGTCATGCTGTATGGCTCATTCTTCATCTGTGCGTCTTGTTCTGACGCTCTTTGGTTGTGCCACTTTTAACCCTGTTGTAAAAAGGCAGTTTTTCTAGCTGGAAATGTTCAGAATGGCTAAGTTCATAGCTGTTAACATGAGGGAGAAAACTGGGAATGAAGATTTCAAGGCGGCATGCAGAAGCTCCCAAGAGCCTCTTTTTGTTTTGTTTTCATTCTGGGATGTGAACAATGAAACTGCATGTGTGTCCCAAGAAAGACTGATCATTTGAAAAGTATCTCAGACTTCAGAAACCTATATATGAGATTCAGATACAGAGGTAGGCCTTGTTTGGAAAGCTTTTAGATAAATATGACTAGCTTAATGTGTATTTTAGTATAGTCTTTGTAATGCTGTTCTAGGGAATACGACTCCAGCACAATTGCCACCTTATTGCTAAAAATTAAATCACAAGTACTTATTTGTCTAGATTAGGTTGCCCATTTTATTTCTCTAACAGTTTGGTTCTGCTGTGGTCCTTCATTCCTTTCTCAAGTAAATGTGGTTTTCTTATGTAATATACTTATTTTCTAGATTTAAGGGAAGAGACTCCATTCATGGCTGCTTCGTGTTCTAAAATAAGACTGGTGAGACAGTCTGTCTGGTTCCAGCTGCCCATGCTTGCCTAGAAAGTGAGAGTGGTAGGTCAGGATGATTCTTATTCTAATGTCAAAGTGGTGTGCTGCTGAGAATTTGTGGAAAGATTGTAGTGAGTCCCCTTTTGGCCATGCCATGTGAGGTGTTTACTGCCTTCTAGTAATAATCAGTGCTCAGAGGACTTGGGATGATCAGTAGTTTTGTTCCTCTGAAGTGCATCATGGAAAGTAGTATAAGTACTGCATGATTTTGTTGCAGCCTTGTTCATGCATTGTTATTAACAATATGATCTCAAGCCTCTATTTTGTTCTTTATTACTAGATAATAATTCTTCATGTAAAATTAAGCTGCAAATAGAAGTTGTCTTAACCAGTAGCTCCAGAGGAAGGCATGCTGCAGGACTCAGAACCACTGCATTGTCCTGAAGCTGGTCACTAGCTGAGTTGTTGGTTGCCTCCTGAGCCTTCTTTAAGAGAAACTGGATTTTGTGCTGACTTTGAGGGACATGATACCTCTGTGGGAGCAGGAGGTACGATAGGGATACATATGCCCAAGCCAATCAAAGACTGCATTGTTCTTGCTCCTGGAGTAAGCACTTCTGGGAGGGCTAGAAAAGGCAGTAAGGCCTGCTTTCAGACAGTCTGAAAAATCTCTCTGTGGGGTGGTTTAGTAGGGGATGAAATGAAAGCAACTGGGTGAAATACATTTTTTACAAGCATCCAGTGTAGCTGTACTCACTGAAACATGAGCCTGAAGGAGCAATATATTTAAGTTCCCTGTTTAATTCCCAGCTCTAGTCACAGAATCACAGAATCGTAAGGGTTGGAAGGGACCTCAGGAGATCATCTAGTCCAACCCCCCTGCTAAAGCAGGCTCACCTAGAGCATGCTACACAGGACTTCATCCAGGTGGGCTTTGAATATCTCCAGAGAAGGAGACTCCACAACCTCCCTGGGCAGCCTGTTCCAGTGCTCTGCCACCCTCAGAGTGAAGAAGTTCTTGCTCATATTCAACTGAAACCTCTTATGTTTCAGTTTGCATCCATTGCCCCTAGTCCTGTCGCTGGACACCACTGCAAACAGACTGCTTCCATCCTCGTGACTTCCGCCCTTAAGATATTTGTATGCGTTGATGAGATCCCCTCTCAGTCTTCTCTTCTTCAGGCTGAACAAGCCCAACTCTCTCAGCCTTTCCTCGTAGGGGAGGTGCTCCAGTCCCTTTATCATCCTAGTAGCTCTCCTCTGGATTCTTTCTAGGAGTTCCTTGTCTTTCTTGAACTGGGGAGCCCAGAACTGGACACAGTACTCCAGGTGGGGGCTCACCAGGGCAGAGTAGAGGGGGAGGAGAACCTGCTGGCCACACTCCTCCTAATACACCCCAGGATACCATTGGCCTTCTTGGCAACAAGGGCACATTGCTGGCTCATGGTCAGCTTATTGTCCACCAGGACTCCCAGGTCCCTCTCAGCAGAGGTGGCATTGCTCAAGGAACAACGTCAGGGCCGATCCTGTTCAGCATCAGCATCATCAGTTACCAGCACAAGGGGCGGAAGGCACGTCAGCAAGTCGGCGGGTAATGGTAACCCAGAGGGGGGGGAAGCAGTTCACGGCCTTGATGGCAGGATTAGTCTTCAGAGGTACCCTGGATGAGACAGAGGAACGGGCCAAGAGGAACCTCCTGAAGTTCAGCAAACACAAAGACACTGTCCTGTCCCTGAGCTGGAATAGCCCCCAAGCATCAAGATGGGGTTGTGGACCCACTGGTTGGAGCAGCTCAGCCAAAAAGCATTGGGGTGCTGGCAGGCAAGACGAGGTGGCTTCCCCCAGAGCCCTCCCAATCCAAGGGGTTCTATGATTCCTAATAACTGTATCTCCCAAAGACCAACTTGACTTGGCCCTGGGTTTTTTCATCTTTTTTCACATGTCCCCACCAAAGCATACATAGTCACAGATTTTTGTAAACAGTGATTTCGTAGGTCAGCAACCTCAGTGGAAGAAAATTGTGTGTGTGTGCATGTGCGTCTGTTGGGTACAACTGTCAGCAGCAAAAAACGGAAGATGCAATTTAGCTCCTTTGTGAAGTTGCAGCATTCTGTTGTACTTGGTGCAATTTCCATTAAGAAGATAATGCCAAGCATGCTCCTTTTTACCTTCCTCCTATAGACTGTGAACATCTCTCTGCAACCCTTCCCCTTTCATCTTCTCCCCAGCTTTTACCTCCCTCTGTGTCAAGAGGCAAAGGTCCAACTCTAAGATGGTGCAACTGTGTAACCCTGGCTCAGGCTGCTGAGAAAACAAAGTTGTGGCAAGCGCTGCGCAATGGCGTGTAGGAAGGTGCAGTACAACCGGCAGCAGAGCTAGGCTGTCCCGTCTGGAGTTGCCAGTAGCTCACAGGATCAAAATGATGAATACCAGCACAGAAATTATTCTAACCACAAAGAGAATGAAAACAGGGAAAGAATCATAGAATTGTAGAATCATTTAGGTTGGAAAAGACCCTGGAGATCATTGAGTCCAACCGGAAACCTAATATTGCCAAGTCCACCACTAAACCATGTCCCTAAGTGCCACATCTACCTGCCTTTTAAATACCCCCAGGGATGGGGACTCAACCATTTCCCTGGGCAGCCCCTTCCAGTGCTTGACAGCCCTTTCTGTGAAGAAATTTTTTCTAATATCTAATCTAAACCTGCCCTGGTGCATCTTCAGGCCGTTTCCTCTCGTCCCATCACTTGTTGCTTGTCACTTATTACTGCCAG